AACAAGACAGTTGGGTCCTACCATCACTCTAAATGACATAACAGTTACATCAGGGTCAGTTTATTTGGGGAAAAATTATCAATGTGAAGAAAGGTCGCGATGTTTACCTTCTTGGTGACACTATCAGAATGGCTATGGTGCAGAGGAACCAAAGATCATAATCAGGGTAAATTTGGATTCAAACCAAGCCATGATGAGCAGATCCTGGCACAGCTAAGGGAAGTAATTCTAAACAGCTTTGGATTGCTATTCACTTAGGCACTGATCATACTACCAGATAATTATGATTCATCAGAGCAAGGAGTAGAGATGCTTTACAAAGTGAGACATTAAGTTTTGGGGTTAACGCAGGATTGCACAGTATTTCAGTTATATAACAGTGTGTCAGCTCGATATGAGAGAAATCCCTAAGTGATGAGGTCTTAGTCTAACCCACAAGTACAGTGCTGACACAGCAGGAAACAATCTAGGAATATCTGTGATTCAGACCCACGATCATCGGTTGCTGGCACATCTGAGGGACATAACTCTGGACAAGGAATCACAGTGACTAATCGACTGAGCCACACATCCAATCCTATCATATGAGTACACACCTACAGAAACTACCATGTGAAGATGGGGCTCTATCGAAATGACCTTTGCTGCACCTGAATAACACACACATCAATGAAATATCTGCAAACTCATGAACAGGTCCCATGACTGTACATTCACTTGCAAATAGACACGGACATTTTGAAAATACATGTGGCAATCACAAATCTGCAAGAATATAACAGTAAAGCATCAAGTTCAACAAGCACCATGGTACCACGAAGATACCACGACTGGTATGCATCAATCTCATTAAAATCAGATCTAAGTTCTCGCTACCGCTAAACAAAGATCTGAGGACACCCAATTACGGGTCACGACAGACCGACCTTTCGCAAACTTTGACTGACCAATGGAATGAAGTTGACATTAGCCAATCAGAAGGCAGCTTTCTCATGCTTTATGGCACCGACGCTCTGATTGGTCGGATGAAAGGTTGTTCTGACGTGGGATATCCTCAGATCTTTGTTTAGTGGTTGCGAGAACTAAGATCTGATTTTTATGAGTTTGGTTACCCAACCATGCACAATAGAAATATTGAAACGAAAACCCACTAGCGGTATGGATTTGAGTGTACTGCAGTGTCGTTGATATCATGCTTGTCAGTCAGAAACAATGCCGATGCTTTACTGTACTTGGTACAACAACGAACTAAACAAAGTGACAGTGTTCGAAATACAACTGTTGTATGATGTGCTGGTTGACTAAGTCTATGTGCTTGTTATAGGGATGATATGAGCACATTACACCATTTCCACTGATGAAATAACATGACTATTCATTTCTACTCTCTTATTCGGATGACTGTTCTTGATTAATTTTAATTCAAAGTGACATTCATTCCAAATTCAGAACATTTTTTCATCCAAATTTTACAATAACCACTGAAAAAAGATTATCAAAACACAATTCCTCTTTTAGATCTTTCCATACTGAATACTTTTATTAAATTAATATTCTTGTTGTGTAATTACTCTGAGTACAGTCTCATGTTCAATAGTGATACGCCATTGACAGCGAATATTCAAGTTTACATCAAAGATTACATCAAGTCTATATGCACCATATTTTGTGAGATTGTGAACAACAAGGGAATATACACTTTCGAACACTGCTTTTTTCTACCATACAGAAGCGAAATATCAAGTACCTCTTGCAGTTTTGTGAATCAACATCGTGCAACAAACGACTGCAAAATAGGAATAAAAGTATCAATGAAAACCCTGTCAAAACTTGGATTATCGACATCAACACAAAAAGGCACAACACACAATATCGGCCATTGATGGCTTGAAATCAGTCATTAAACAGTAAAGGGAATTTGGACAAAAACTGAACAACAAAAAAGAACAGGGTAAAGATTCTGAATTATACATAGTTTCCTCTTCATAATTAGATTATGATGAAGAACACCAGGTCATAAACTATAACATTTGGATGAACACATCTGCACTGGTAAATGCATTTTTATGCATCAAAGGAATCTCTAATTTATGAATATTACGTCTTCTAAAGAGAGAATTTCTAAATTCTTACATAAATTAATTATATTTTCTACAGGTGTGATGAATTCATTAATGCTCTACAATAAATGACACCGTATATGATAAAATAAAGGCCATTATGTATTTCCGAAATTAACTAAAAACAGAAATTGTCTATCTCTTTTGTTGACATTTTTAAGTCACATCCAACAGTTATTATTATGGACTAAGACTCCAGCTGTCGACATTAATTCTGATTATTTAACAAGCAGTTTTACTGGGAAGTTAAACAATAATGCTACCATAAAAAAACAATCATAAGTGAGTTGACAATCCCCACTACTCCAAGTATGTTAGAGCAAATCCAAACAAAGATTGGGTGGTCATCATGTGTAACCTGGCTGATGTGTGACATGGAAATTTGTTTATGCTATACCTACTGGGTGGTCTCATCTAGAGTCACTTATTTACCATCTTCCCGAGGCAAGAGTGTTAACTGACCATAAAAGTCCAGTTTCCATCCTTGATGAACTAGGCTGGGATTTTCTAGTTGTATTTTGACTGGACTAACGAGTCTACGCATAGTGATGCAAAATCGCGCAATGAAATGTACATTTGGTTCATAAACAACATGGTGACTGCCATGCAGATTTCGGTCGACTGCAGCATTTCCAAAGCATGTGTATCAGAAACTCGGCGTCGCCAGATATTTTCCAAATCTTTTCATGTTTTTAATCAAGGTGCTCACGGGATTTGATGCACTTCACGAGGTAAGATCAGTCTTATTACAAAATAGATCATGATTATCCATCTTGACTGAGCACCGCCATTTGTTTTAAACAAATGCAAGTGATATGATAGGCGGAATCTGATCGGTCAATAGGAGAGACAGGGGGACACAACTCGTAATAGCCATTGGTGGTGCTATGATCGAGTCACAAAACTCCAGCCTAGTTCAGGAAGGGTGGAAACTGGACTTTTATTTTGAGGTAACTCCATTGCCTACAGATTTTAGTTATCTTACATGTTTCCCAGACATAGCCACCACATAATTGAATTCAGTGGTAGACCAACATATGCTTGCTCATTCATAATATTACATTAATGCAACAGGAGTGACATGGCTCAATCTCATTCAAATCAGATCTTTCAACCCAACATGATACCTCTCTGTGTGAAAATGTGAGGACACCTCAAAAGAATGTCGTATCAGGTAAGGTGAGGTGAAATGGGGTTAAATGTCCCGTCCAAGATTATTGCTTTTATATAGTGCCACGTGTGTGGGGGGTTGGGGGGTTGGGGGTTGGTGGGGGTTGGGGGGCTGCTTGTCCTAGTTTGGACTAATGCCGATTTTAGAGTGCTTGCCCCTGAAGTACCATGCACCCAAGTTTAACATGAATACTTCCTTGTTTATCCCCTTAATGCCGAGCCCCAAGCATGGTAACTTTAAGTACCATCTTTTATTGTCTATTGGTATGTTGCGGCTTGGGATCAAACCACCAACCTTATGCTCTCAGGGCAGATGCTCTACCACAAGACCACGGAGGCAGTCGCAAAACCACTGAACACAAATGTTCTTATGTGCTCAGAGAGTATAAAACATCCACAACAACGTCATGCTGCAGCCTTCATTACTTACATTCAGAACTGGTCATTCAAATTCCTTTTTGAGATTCAGAAATCAGGCATGCCTTTCTGAATGCTTAGCTCACTGGTACCGATAACTTAGAAGCCTTGACATTGATCATCTTCCAGAGGCAAGGGCGTTAACTGACTATAAAAGTACAGTTTCCACCCTTGCCAAACTAGGCTGGTATTATGAGACATTTTGGCTGTACATGGTTCAATCAAAATTTTGTAATGAAATCAACATACAGTTTGTAAACTGCCGTGCAGATTTCAATCCATTACATGATTTGCAAAGACTGTGTACCGCCAACTCAGGGTCAACAGGTATTTTCCAAATCTTTTAATGTTTATAATCAATTTGTTCACGTGATTTGATGCACTTTGCGAGGTAAGATACGTTTTATCACAATATAGATTTTGATTATCATTAAGCTCATCTTGACTGGCCCCACCATTTTCTTTGAAGCAAATGCAAATTATAAGAGAGGTGGAATCTGATTGGTCAATAGGAGGGACATAGATGGGGCAAGAAACTCCAGTCTAGTTCGAGGAAGATGGACATTGATTGGCTGATCAGAAAGTTCACCTGACACGACCTGTCCATCAGTGCTTCATGCAGAGAGGTATCATATCGGAGTATTACGGGTCAGATATCACGCAAAGACCAGACCAGTCTTATTCATCTATTTTCATGCCAAGATGCTGGACGCAAAAAAATAATGGATTAGGGCAGACTATTCCAATTATAAATCAACAGTTTAATTAAGGAAAGAATACAATTCAAAATACTGCACTGAAGATGGCTGTAAAATATGTCTGCCAATAATATTCTTGAAGGAGGTTATTTTCCTCTCACGTTTGCAAACGAAGGTTAGATTCAGCCATAAAATAACAAAATTGGTCTGTCCTGAGCATAATATGGTCACATTTATATCACCACAGAACTCAAGATTTCAGTTGAAACACACATATGTATTCAATACACAAATGATATGTACCAACACTTCAACTATGGTAGCCAATATCAAACAAAAAATGTCCTACAACTGCTTGAGAATAACTTTTTATTACAAATCAAAAACCTACCAACAAATATCAATTGATAACTTGAACTGATTCATAATCAAGGATATTGATAAAAATAATCATGATAATCAAACATATTTTAAATTATTAAACAATGTAAACTAAACCACAGATTACATAACTAAAATACAATTGATCACGTTCATGTATACCAGTTTGGTGAGAGTACGCAATGGGACAGTGACAGGACGTGAGTGTACCTACCTCCATCATATATTTCCACAGGAATGTGCACACTGGAAAAAGAGAAATTGACCTTCTGTTCGAACCTCTCAGTGTATGCTAAAGGCTCGTTCATCATGTCCTTTGCATTTTTATATTTGACCTCTTCTTTCTGAAACATGAAACAAATTAGTTAATTACCACAAATTTACTGAAGTATATTATAAATAGAGTTATTTAATGTTGTTTAATGCTGTATGCAGCAATAATCGAGTACAAACCAGTGGTTGATATCATGAGCAATGAGGTGAGATGAAATGGGGTTTAACGTTGAGATCAACATTATTGCACTTATCTAGCATGCATGTGTGTGATTGTGTGAGTGTGTGAGTGTGTGAGTGTGTGAGCGTGTGATTGTGTGAGCGTGTGAGTGTGTGCCCACTGAGATACCATGTCACAGTTTAACATGTTAACCCAGTGTTCCCGGTGGCTTTTGAAACTGTCAGTCCTGATGGACTTGCAACTCAAAAAATTACCAGTCCTCCTAATTTTTGTCAGTCCCAACTTTCAACAAGTTAGAAAAGTATGAAAATTACATGGTTTTAATTCTTTCAACATCATGTTCAATACAATGATGTCATCTCTGAAGTAACTTAGTTAGATCTACACATCACTCACACAAAGTCCAGTCACAAACTTCTCTTTTTTGTTGTAATATTTTGAGACTAAGTCACAAGAAAGATATATTTCACCATGTTAAGTGTGGAGCAAAGCGAAATGTTATTGCCTTGCAATAAAGATAGACAAGGGGAAACCTGATGGTAACAGGCAAGCTGACTTCGTTCGAAAATTATACACCGCGGTATGTGAATATCCCAGATGTTTTGTTCAACAACAAAGATTTATAAGGTACTTTATTTGCCGGTCCACAGGGACTGACAGTCACATGAATTACCTGTCTAAGCCTAATTTACCTGTAAAAAACTGGTAATTACCGGTAAACCGGAACATTGGTTAACCCCGCTCAGATACCACAGCTGACCAGTCCTTGTTTTAGGCCCTGAATGTCGAGTGATAGGCAGGGTAACAACAAGCACAATCTTTTAAACAATTTTGTTATGAAGGGGCTGGCGGTGGAACCACCATTCTTCCAATTTCCAGGCTGATGCACCATCCATCCACTAGGCCATGCCTGAGCAATAATGTATTCATTCTGCTTATGCTGACTTTTACTTGGCCAGGTCACCCCATCTTGTCTGCTTTTTGTACAAGCATGATTTGCTAGGGACCTGCTCTGCACGGATGAGGGAGTATGGTTTTACACTACTTTTAGAAATAGTCCAGCAGTATGCCGGAAGGGGACACCAGAAGATGGCTTCATACATTGCACCCATGTGGGGAATTCGAAAATGGGTCTTTAATTTCATGAGCAAACACTTTAACCACTAGCCTACCCCACACAGCCTGCAGTCCTTACAGGTTTACCATAATTATTAAAACAAGAGGGTTAGTTAATATAAGTCTTGTACTTTAAGTGGACTGGAATATTGCTGAGTGCAGAGCTAAACAAGAAACAAACAAACAAACTTTAAGTGGACATATTTGGTTACTCACATTAAGGGAGGAGTCCCACACGTGGTTGGCAGCTGCGTCTTCTGCTTTGTTCACAGAGTTCTGTAACAAACGATGAAATGGAATCAGATACGTTTTTTTGTATTTTTCAGTTTCTGGATTTGACTGACCGGCGAAAAGACAAAAGTAGACAACATTAATTTTAATTGCCAGACTGCATTTTTGAAGGACAATCACAATAAGAAAATGGAAGAAAAAAAGATAATTTTGTGTCCGATTTCTCGTATGATGGATTAAAAAGAATGATATGAAAACAAAAATGAAGCAAAACATTATATAATGTTTTAAATAAAACTGATCAACTAAATTTAGTCTCTGGCCAGTACAGTGAGTGAGTGAGTGAGTGAGTGAGTTGGGTTTAACGCCGCTTTTAACAGTATTCCAGTCATATCACGGCGTGTCAGCTTAATGTGGGAGGAAAGCCCGAAATGATGCAGGTCTCAGACGTTTACCACTTCGGTGAAACCCACGAGCACGGGTATGGTGCTGACAAACCTAGAAACATAATCGGGGCGAACCGGGATTCGAACCCACAATCATAGGTTTCTGGCGTGCCCAAGGGACGCAACTCTGCACAGCGAATCGCGGCGCCTTAGACGACTGGGCCACCCGTGCCCCCGCTGGCCAGTACAGAACTCTTCTACGGAGAGAAAAAGACTTCCAATGAGTTACACAAACACAAATCACCTTCAAGTTGAACAGAATCAGAATTTACTTCCAGCCCACAAAACAAATTTCTCCTTTTTTAAAATATTTCGAGACTAAGTAGCTAAAGGTAAATATTTAACCTCAAAGCAAGACAAAATGTTATTTCCTTGCACTAATCAATGCTAAAACTGACAAGGGGAAACCCGGATGGTGACAGACAAGCTGACTTTGTTCGAAATAGATGGCATTCATAGAGAATGTTGCTGACCTATTATTATTATTATTCATGTAACAACAACAATGCATCCATTCTAAGTGTGCCAGATTCATTCACCAAGTAAATCCTTATCATGCTTATGGTGCTACATGTTACTACCCTTATTGATAAGTGTGCCCTCAAATTTCATAGAGTATAAAATGAGAGGCTAGAAGGTTAATGGGCAACAATACTCCAACTCTCCGCCACTTTAATTAGCCGTGCATTCACCAGGTGCTAATTAGCGTTGAACCCAGTTGAGATTTTAGTCTCAAATTTTGAATCGGTGAAGAAGTGGACATCTGTATTTCAATACTTTCAAATTTGGAGTGCTGATGCCCTTTAACAGTAACAGAACCATCTCATCCTACTGGGTACCCATTTACAGCTGGATGAGTGAGTGAGTTGGGTTTAACGCCGCTTTTAACAGTATTCCAGTTATATCACGACGTGTCAGCTTAATGTGGGAGGAAAGCCCGAAGTGATGCAGGTCTCAGACGTTTAACACTTCGAAGAAACCCACGAGCACTGGTATGGTGCTGACAAACCTAGAAACCTAATTGGGGTGAACCGGGATTCGAACCCACAATCATAGGTTTCTGGCGTGCCCAAGGGACGCAACTCTGCACAGCGAATCACGGCGCCTTAGACGACTGGGCCACCCGTGCCCCCTACAGCTGGATGAAGAGAGATGTATTTTGAAATAAGGAGGCACTACATACATAAAGATGTGTTCTGATGTGGGACAGGCAGGACAGAAGCCCTCACAAGTCAAGCTCCCGAAAACAGTCATCCATCCACCTCCCATCGGCAACCGACACTGCTTATCTTTGCCTGATATGTGACCTGTAATAATGGTAACCAACCTGTAGTGCATCCATCTTCGTTTCCAACATGGCTTTCAGTTTCTGGGACATATTACTGACAAGTGCGGCAGGTTCCACCTTGGAAAAAGTTGCTTGAATATCAACAGCCCCACTTTCCGGTGATCGGGGAAATTCATATTTCTGTAAAAAGGAAACAACATACTTTGAGAAACAGATATTTTAATACAGCAAAAAGCTTATTGGGTTAACTATTAGAACACTTAAACAAGACCAGCCCAAGCATTTTACTCAAGTCATTTATAACGGGACAATTGTTTCAGTGAAAATGTCACCATTGTACAGATTTTTTCAGAACATCAGGAATTTATATAGGCTTCTAAACTAAGAGTCCTTGAAAGGCAAACTGTGAGAAAAAAAAAATTAATTGAAAACTGAGATTTTATTAAAGGAATTTTAACATTGTAATTTAACATCGCATTCATTGCAATATTATAAAACTAAGAATTGAATCTTCTTCCTCAACATGCTCAATATAAGTCTTGTTTTCAGTGATATACAAGTCATCTCTACAGAGCTGTTAGCAAATTGTTAAGACTTTACAAACATGAATTGGGAAATTTGTAGTCATATTTCCTGCAATCAAATATTGATCTCAGAGCAGGTCCAGACAAACAACTGAACACCCATTAGTCATCTAATCTGTCAAAGTATCAGAGCTCCAGATGAGCATGCATTAAGCAAAATACACAAATAAATTGCCATCACGCAGTTAACTGTGCTTAATACATATGGAACATGTCACACTCCCAATGGTAAAGCAGCACTTTACGAAGGTACCCAAGTAGCCTTTTCAATTTGCATTTCTTTTCTTTTGTTTTTTTGCCTAAATCTTTTTGTGCATATCAAAGACATGATTTCTGCTGCTGTAAATAATGGACAAATTGTCTCCAAGAAATGAATTTTAAGCAAAATTATGCAACATGTTAAAAAATTATTGGTTATTAAATACCCAACAGAGGGGAGTCCAAATATATCAGATATATTGAATACTCAAATTAGCCAAGGAATACAATATATACCCATGTGAATGATACCATGTGAGTAAATACTCAATGGCTCAGAACATGTATCTAGAGCCCTGTAATATGTTGATGTTTTTCTGTTTAAAATTAGTTTATTTAGATTGAAATGGATTGGGAACAAGTTGTCCATTGTAATGTTATCGGCATCCTGTCCCTCGAGTAGTGACATTCAGCTCAATATTCTTTCTCTGTGAGAGGGTATGGTTATACGCCGGTTTTAGCAGTATTCCAGCAATATCCATGTGGGGGACACCAGAAATGGGCTTCACACATTGTACCCATGTAGGGAATCAAACTCGGGTCTCCCCACTGTCCCTCCTGCTGTAGTCCCTCACAGTGCATGGTGTGACCAGTACAGATTCTCACCAATGTGGCTTTTGATACAGAGAAAGGGGACACAGTAGTCATATATATTTCCATAAAAAGAATTATGTTGGAAAAACATGAGTTTTTGTCACTGTTATTTCCAAAAATAATACAGATTTTACTAAAACCATTTTTGCAAAGAAAATATAGCATTTCTACATCAGTTATTATTGAACAAAATGTGTCTTTTCTTCAGATACAGTGATTAATACTTTAGTCTGTATGAAAGCATCCGTACTATTTCTACCTGATTAACCTGAAAGGTGACCATGCTTGTTGTAAGAGGGGACTAACGGGATCGGGTGCTCGTGATATCAATCACTGGATTGTCTGGTCCAGACTCGATTATTTACAGACCGCGGTCATATAGTTGAAATATTGCTGAGTGTGGCTTATAACAACAAACAAACAAACCTATTTCGAAGCAATCTGTTGGCAATAAAGCCCTTTAAATAGCAAGCACAAAAATACACTTAGCTTAAATCGCTTTATATAATTGATATTAGGGTTCTAGGCTAATGGTGGTGAACCAGAATTAGCAGGAAAGCTCAAAAGTATCAATCTTAACCATGTCAAATTGCAAGGAACATTAACCAATTTGTGTCGTTGTGTGTTGTTGTATTAAACCACTTGCCTTTGCTTGATAAATAATGTTTCACTTAAGATGACAGAACCACTCTTATATCCAGATTCCATTCCACTATTTTTCTTGTTTTCAAACATATGGATTTTCTGGTGCTGATGGGTTACACTCAAAACTGACATTCTTTTGATGCCCTTTGTCCTAAGCTAACCATGCTAATGCATGCCTTTTTGAGACAGGTGACCTAACGCTATGGAAACCGATATACAAGTAGGTATCTGCATTAGGTATGAAGTCCCAGCGATATATCTAGACATGCCTAGTCACTATATAGATGAAATAATGCCAATGTGGCATTTAATTTTAACTCCTTCACTCTAGACATGTTCAAAGGGCCAATTCTGCTTTAAATGTCAGTAAAATTCCAAACTCGGTGTTCCCGCTGGCTTTTCAAACTGCCAGTCCTGGTGGACTGGCAACTCTAAAAATTACCAGTCCCCCTTAATTTTTGTCAGACCCAACTATCAACCTATAAAAAAATGTATGAAATTACCTGGTTTTAATTCTTTCATCATCATGTTCAAAATGCAATTACGTCATCTCTGAAGTAACTTTGTTAGATCTACATGTCATTCACACAATGTTCACTCACAATTTACTCCTTTTTAAAAAAATATTTTGAGACTAAGTCGTTACAAATATATATTTTACCTCAATCAAAGCGAAATGTTATTTCCTGGCACCATAAATAGACAAGGGGAAACCCTGGTGGTAAAAGACAAGCTGACTTCATTGGAAAAATATACTTATCACCGATGTTTTGTTCGACAACAAAGATTTATCAGGTACTTAATTCGCCAGTCCACAGAGACTGGCAGTCACATGAATTACTGGTCCGAGCCTAATTTTACCGGTTATAAACTGGTAATTACCGGTAAACGGAAACACTGAAACTGTGAATTAAAATTTTCTAGTTCATGTTAATATCATTACAATAGTCCAAGCTAATGTGATGGTTTGGTTGAGGTATCATGTATCCAATTATCATAGGATCAAGATTGAGAAAGAGGATTTAATGCATAATTTTACATGTTTAGCATCAATTTCAATGCAGTGTTAAAACACAATGTTAAAATACTTCTGAAATTAAGAAAAAATGTGCTTTTGCACAACAGCACTCCCTTTACTGATGTAACATATTTATTCAAATGACCAAGCAAACCCTCCCCCTCTCTTCAGCTAGGCCCATGCAAAGTTTGGAATGGTTAATACATAGATGGCCCAATCCTCAAAAGCTTTTGCGCACACCAGAAACAGGATCGTGGATTCAAATCCTGGTTACATGTTTGTCAGCACCAAACCCATGCTTGTGGGTTTCACTGAAGTGGTAAATGTCTAAGGCCAGCATCACTTCGGGCTTCCCTCCCACATAAAGCTGACACGCCGTGATATAACTGGAATACTGTTAAAAGCAGTGTTGAACCCAACACTCACTCACCAATAAAGTTCTAGAAACAGGCCCTTTTCTTGAAATCACAAAGACAGTCTTTGTTATTTGGCAGTAGAGATTGATGTAAATTTATTTGTAGTATTTGCAGCGAGTCCTGGTAAAATGTAGAGTGCTGTTAGTGGTAGAATTTAGAGTTATCTGACTCTGGTTCCTGTTCATGAACATGAAAGGCTTGATCGCTCAAAAAGTTTTGGATTTGGCAATTTCTAGAATGCTGGCTTTATCTACATATATAAGAGCAAGGAGAGGGCAATCAAAGTCTTTTTCAAAATGACTAACTAGTAACTTGAATAGCAAACATGGCAAAAGGCAACATGCGTCTAGAGGTTGTGTGGACAACATGTCGAGTTAGGTGAAGAAATACCTGGTACTTTTCAATTTCCACTTTGGAAAATAACATATTTTAAGATTAACTTCATGTCTATATTGCCACAAGGTTCATATGCATACAATGTTTTAGAACAAATTTTTAATGGTCCAGAAAGAGAATGAGTTCTGACACGGGGGGTAACCTGCTCAAAGGTATGTTGATCTTCTAGAACAATTGCTTTTGGATTAACATGGACCAATTCTAATGAGTGAGTGAGTGAGTGAGTTTAACACCGCTTTTAATATTATTGCAGTTGTATCACGGTGTGTCAGCTTAATGTGGGAGGAAAGCCCGAAGTGATGCAGGTCTCAGACGTTTACCACTTCGAAGAAACCCACAAGCATGGGTATACTGCTGTCAAACCTAGAATTGTTATCGGGGTGAACCGGGATTTGAACCAACAATCATAGTTTTCTGGCAGGCCCAAGGGACGCAACTCAGCACAGCGAATTGTGTTGCCTTAGACGACTGGGCCACCCGTGCCCCCCAATTCCAAGGTAGAGCCAGACTTTATATATATAACTCTGCAATATTCAAGCTTTATCACTGTAAATAAACCAGTCTGAACCAGTGATCAATATTGTGAGCAGCCTTTTGGGAGTGAATCAATCCAGTCACCGAGTCTGACCACCTAGTCCATGAGTATGATGAGGCACCATCTAGCAGTCAAGTTATCATGAAGACATAGCACACTGGGTAATCATTGGTAGATTAACTAGGAATATTCATATTGGATGTGCCACAATACTGATTGAAGTATCTGAAGCAAAAAGCTTCAACTGTTACGCAACTCATTTTAATGAATTTTCTACTCTGATATAATCATGATAATACCTCTCTAAACGGTTTAATGTGACGCAGAAATGTGCATCCAGTACGCACAAATGCATAGAATGGATGCAGAAAAACTATTGCATCCTGAGGCATGCACAAAAATCTTCATTGTATCAAATTCTTAATTTCTTATACAAGTCCTGTAAGTAAATAGGTAAAGTAATTATTACATCTTACAGTACAGTACACTACACCATTTAATTACTTAACAGGACCCTCATATTTCCTGTGAGGACCCTTGAAATATAGTACTTAGGTGTCCTCTGGATACCTAGGTTTGTAGGTCTTAGTAAAACCCTGTTTCTGCTAATGATCGGAGGACACCTACAAATGTCATATCAGGTGCACTTCCTTATCAGCAAATCAGCATCTATGCTTCAAACATATCAATACATGCAAGCAAAGTGTTGGAAATTCCTCATATACCCTGTCATTGTCAAACTCCATGGTATCTACACCCAAAATAGGTAAAAGAGGAATATTCCTGTTCTGTGTGGGCTTTCTTTGGTTAAAATACACAAATCCAATTTCAAAAGCCGACATTTGATTGGTTCAAGAATCCATGTAGCCTTCATTTAGATTGAGTGGTTAAAGTTCACTCAGGGTTTACTTGGCATGACCTTCAATGAAGGGCTTGTCAGATCAAGGTATTGTATCATAGTAAGTGATCTGATTATAAAGAGATTGCTGCTTTAAATGTTTCCCCAAAATTCAACTGACTTATATAACTTACCCGTTCAACTGCATCTATTCCTGTGAGTGTAGAAACATGGGTATTCCAAAAGTTACTGAGGGCTACTGACCATTCTTTTACCCTGAAAATTAGACCAATTCCTACATAAACATGGTAAAAGACACACAAAAAATACATAGTATGGCCACAAATGGGCCAACTGGCCCGTGACATGTGAGTGAGTGAGTGAGTGAGTGAGTGAGTGAGTTGGTTTTAACGCTGCTTTTAACAGTATTCCAGTTATATCACAGCAGGTCAGCTTAATGTGGGAGGAAAGCCCGAGGTGATGCAGGTCTCAGACGTTTACCACTTCGATGAAACCCACGGTGAAACCCACGAGCACAGGTATGGTGCTGACACACCTAGAAACATAAACGGAGCGAAATGGGATTTGAACACACGATCATAGGTTTCTGGCATGCCCAAGGGACACTACTCTGCGCAGCGAATTGCGGCGCCTCAGATGACGGGGTTACCCATGCCACATTATGAAGGGTGGGCCACTGCTTGGTCTACAGTAATATTCCCAAAGCATGCTGAGTCCATGTTGTCCCACTGGATCAAACAATGGATGGGGGGGTGGGGGTGTATACAAAGGAACCTAAATATTTTTATGTAAAAAAGCATCTTGCAACAACATATTTTTATGTGGCAGACAATTACTTTTTTTTCAACAGTCAAAAGCATAGTTATTGTTTTCAAGCATTTTCTGGGACAATTTATCCACCTAACACACACACCCAATTCTCCAGAATATCTAAAGATTGGTCCCTAAGGAACCTAAAAAAATATTGTTTTGCATTTATATTATCGTAATAATTGCCAAATGATTACCTGTATATCAACTTTGCAAAAAATACAAACAAATTCAAAACAGATTATTATCCCACAATATTCACATTGATTGTTTGTTTGTAGATTAATGACACACTTAGCAATATTCCAGCAACATGATGGCAGTCTATAAATTATCAAATCTGCCCCAAGGCCTGACCACCCAACCCATTGAATCACCTCCTACAACAAGCATAGGTTGTGTGGATTACTGGGGATTTTCATGTTATAAAAACTGGACTTTTCAACACTTGCATGTTTTGGACAACATGTATACATAAGGCTTAAATATTTTAAATGTGTTGTTAAGGCTGATTTTATCATGTTTATAGGTTTTCAGAAAGCATTGTTGTCATAGTTGAATATAAGCAAATCTTGATTGAAGATAATTTTGTTAGGAGACGTAAAAACATGGTGAAAATGTACTTGATTATGCCATCCATTTAATTATATTCTGCATTGTGGTGAAAACTACCTGCAATTTCTACACATATTTCTTACATAAAGTTACAATAACTTTTCTCAAATACTTTCATTTTTTTCCTCGTTCACTTATTGCAGTTAACAGGTTGTATCTTTGAAACTATTCTCAAAAATATTTTATTATTTATACACATCTTCAAAAATCCCCTAAGACTACATTTCAACTTGAACCCTGGCATTAATATAGTCTCTCACACAGATTGAAAATATCCCAAAACACCCAAGCAAGTCTACACATGGTACAATATTTAGCCAAGTCTAGATTTACTCAGTTTCATGAAGAAAATGAAGAGATTCTCTGGGCTCCTCCATATTAAAAGGCAATCCAACAATGAAAATCCTCAACTATTTTCATTTCAGAGACTAAATGATAGTCCAATCAATACTATACGAAAATGTCTTGCAAAACTAATAACATAAAAGTAATGCTTTATTAACATCGCGTTTGCAGTTAACGGTTATACATATATGCATAACATCACATTCACCCCCCTTGTTTGAGACAATATTTTCATTGAATGATACTTGAAGGCAATAGCCTGAGTACAAGGTAACGGTACACACAGTCTCCAGACTATTATGGAATCTGCAAATTACTCAAGCTATAAATAGATCATTCCTTCTTCATATCGACCGACTCGGGTTGACACAACATAACGGTACTAATTTACGCCAAATGAAGATGTAATTACATGGCAAAAACATCTTACACAAATATTTAATCCAAATTGACCAAATATGTCCCGTAAACAAAACGCACAACAGGCACGAGAGAAAGATTCTACCGAAGTATGATTCGATGCCATATATACACCAGGCAATTCCTTATATTCAACAGTCAGAGAATGGAGTTTCCATCGACGATCGTTCAACTATTATTACCTACTCTATTAACCCAAATAGGAATAAACGAACATCAAAATTAACCTACCTTTCTAAATCTGGCTTTTCCGGTGTAACACATAGGATAAATCGGCTGGCAATTACAGAAAATAGCACATAAACGACAAGCCAGTCGCGCTGTGGTGTCGCCATTTTGGTTCGCTCTCTTCAGCCTCGCTCTGAATCCGGCCCAGAATCTGTACCAAAAGTGAAATACGCCGTAATTACGAGTAATGGCACCTGCAGAGAAAGCTTCTGTTGGATTACACACAGAACTGCGTGTACGTAACGAGCTATTTACATAGGCATGTCGCTCTCAGCCCTGCTAGTGGTTCATTCAGTAAACCTTCCAGTGACGAGTCTCCTAACGATTTTCCAGCCTCACCGAACCATCACGCCAATCCAGTGCATTTCATCTGTCCGTAGACCATTTATCGATCTCGCTTTCTATATTATAATCCCTACGTGTGATTCTGATAGGGTCGTCATTCCTTTCATTTCATTTAAGGGTGAAGAAGGCAGATTGTACGTTCACTTTGCGGTGAATATATCCCATGACATGTCAATAATATTGAGTGAAATGGATAGCGCCCTTGGCGCACGGGATTCATGCGTTTTGCGTGCACGGGTCAGTGTGGTGATGGTTTGTCACACCTGTTTGGGATGAACATCTGTTGCCACGTGCCATACATGCCCAGCAGTAAAACAGCGATGAAAGCAGCTAGTAATAAACACATTACAACAACCTAACATTTAATCAATTATGTCAAACGCCATCTTTCATTGCGTTTGATGTTCAGAGCACGTATCATAATCAAACGTTCAAACAGTGTATTGAGAACATTTCAAACATAATTTTTCTCCCTTGTTATGATCGCCTAGCAATGATGAAATTTAATTAATATAAACCTGTACAAACATCTGTCTTTATTTGTTCAAGCTATCGATATTTTTTCCAACATGATGAAATTATTATATTATCTTATATCACCCCACGCGGTCTTTATTACATAATCTTCTTGACAGATGCTATTTTTTGTACATCGGACATAGAATTGTACAGAACCCCTCGGATCACTCCCACGATTTATATTTGGTTAATTTCAGCATTAGAAACCCACCACCTAGCCAGCACTCACACAACTTACATCGTTTATACCACATTCGATTTCTAAATAACAGATAAGTACATATCCTGGCTCAACATGTACAAAGCAATCGTGTCTCCCGTATTTAAAATAGCTCTCGTACGAAGATCACTTTGTGAAAATGGGTCCCAATCCCGAAAAAGTCAATAGTCTGAAAAAGTACCAAGTCAAAGATTAGCAGCATAGGCAAATATTCACACACGAAGCTTACCGGTCTGATGCGGGGTAACGGCTGCTTGTAAATGAGCAGGGGAGTCTACTGCCGATTACAGATTTAGCTCAGCGGGCGGCAGTGCTACAGATGGTTGTAGTTACAATGGTAATGAATGACATGGCTACGTAACACAACGACAGACAACCCAGTACCCCCCCACCCCCACCCCCCCACCCTCTTCGTGTCATCATTATCATCGCATTCAAGCGCTTTTAAAATATGGAACGGATGTTGCTTGTCCGTTATTTTATCATTATGTTGAATAACCAAGAAACACGTCATTTTTTAATATTAAAAGATATTTGGATGTTCCTTTGTTACGCAAAATGTACTCCGTTCACATGCGTCGTTTTAATGGGTTTTAAGCCTTGCCTTATATTTCAAGAAGTGTAAGCGGCAATTATGTATGAGTAAATTTGAGCAAAAAGTGACATAAATATTTTTTAATTACATCACAATGTCATTTCGTAAACTGTATCACAACACATCACCCGTGAAGATGAGGCTCGCTGACTTGGTTGATGCATATTATCGAATCCCAAATGAGTGGATCAATGCTCATGATGGCAATCACTGGATTGTCTGGTCCAGACTCGATTATTTACAGACCGCCGTCATACAGCTGGAATATTGCTGATTAAGGCGTTACACATCAAACAAACACACAAACAAACAAACAATTACACCATTTAATGGACATAACTAAAAATGAATAAAATGAACTTCAATTTTCTTTGAACAATTCGCAATGATGGATACAAAACTGTATGTACTTGCACTACAATCAAAGTATTTCGAAATGCATAACTATCTTTGGATTTGGAAATTTACGTTATAAACACGTTATATTAAATATATCACACGGTGAGAAGATGCGGAGTCGAGGGATGGAAGAACGGCAATCCAAACCAAAATGTCTATTTTTTGCAACCTAAACGTGTGATTTTCATTAGAAACATGATTCAATAACACCACGGCTAATTTGTGGGATGTCCATATGCGAGAAAGTCTCCCATAGGAAAGATGTCTTTCGATTTTCCGAACTTAAGAAAACCCATGGGAAAAAGAGACGTCAAATCAAATGCATAGTAGGCATTGTTTTTTCTTAATATCCAATTAGTGACACAGATTGAATAAATCTCAAACGAAGTGAAACAGTCGTAATCATATAACCCGCTAACAAAAAGTGGCACCAGTTCACTACTAATCCAATTTGTGAAGAGAAATGAGATTGTGAAAATCCCACCGGCCCACGTCACGTCCGATAGACGCATTCCAATACGTAGTTGAAAGGCGAAGGCACCAAAGAGAGGAATGAGATTATTCCATACGATGAGAATACAATGAAAGAATTCTTATGATTTTAATCACATTTGGGGATGAGTTATGCATCGACCGGATCCTTTGCGCTAAACGATGCATCATTCAGGGTCGTCACATGCTGTTGAGCATTACACAATGAGGAATTAATTACTCCCCCCACACCCACCTCACCCCACCCCCCGGTTTGAAAGATGGGATATATAGCTGTCAGCATGTCCGTCCGTCCGTCCGTCAGCCGTCCGTTTCCTGTTTTCTGAACAGAACTCCAAATATTTCTTTTTGACACTTTCTATATACAGATCAGTCTAGTTTTGAACTGGTGCCTTTGGTAATTTAGGATTTTTATTCTTTTAAAGTTTTTTTCATGATTTTCAGTATGAAAACAAGTTATTTTCCATTTCCGGGACAGAACTCCAAAACCTTTTAATATTTCTTGTTCAAACTTGTTATAAAGATCATTCTAGTGGTAAACTGGTGCCTTTTTATAATTTCGGATTTTATTTTTATTGATTTTATTTTCATGACGACAAGTATGACTTATACTGAAAATGAGGGTAGTGTTCGTTTCCGGATCAGAACTCCAAAACTGTTTAATATTTCTAGATGAAACGTGCTATACAGATCAGTCTAGTGGTAAACTGGTGCCTTGTGGTGATTTGGAATGTTGAAAAATACTGAACAGCATTATTTTTTCGTCGTAACTGAAATGAAGGTGTCCAATGGCAGTGAACCAAAAGTAGGGTGTAAGTGGCCAAACTCCATTTCCGAATTGCACGAGATCAGGGGGATATGTCTTCTCCTGATGACTCTTGTATTTACAGCGAAACATCTTTAATCCTGACGGTGCCGTTTATAGAATCATCCGGATTAACGCATGTTCGGATTAAAGAATCGTGGATACGTAGAAATGTCTTTATAGTATTATTTGACCTTCCTGTAATTTGGCAGTGGGGAACAGCATAGCAGTTAGTACCTTTGTCACACCGAAGGCCTGGGTGGGATTTAAGACGCAGATACATGCGCCGATATGTTGCCGAAATATTGCTTCACGCGGCGTAAAACTACACTCACTCACTCGCTCAACATGACGACACGGCGACATATCATGACGGCTACAATGACGATGCAGTGTCACATGTTGTACATTCACAAGTAATTAGACCTTTCACATTTTTAGCTTGGTTTTCGGATCCGCCGACCTTAAAAGTCGAAAGGGGTAGAATTACATCAGTATTAACGATACTGACGATAAAATCGATAAAATCGTTTTGATAACAAAGTTTTCTCAAAATATTCGACATCGACTGAAATGCGGAAGTGAAACACTGTCTTGAGTGCATTTTTAAATAATTAAAAAAAACAGAAGCAATGCAGAAGCTTGAATTGCAAGGTTCTTTTGAAAGAAGCAGTGAGGCTAGACCTTTTGTATTTCTAACACACACACACACACACACACACACACACACACACACACACACCACATCCCATCCCTCCCACCCCATGCTTGCCGCAATAGACGACTATAACGGGATCGTTAGATCAGGCTCGCTGACTTAGTTGATATAAGTCATCGCATCCCATTTGCGTAGATCGATGCTCATGATGTCAATCACTGAATGGTCTGGTCCAGATCGACTATTTACAGGCCACCGTCATACAGTTGGAATATTGCTAAGTGCGGCGTTAAAAATCAAAGACAAACAAATGTATTTCCATATATCGAGTCGTATCGATCAAATTTACCCCCCAAAGCCCCTTTAAAATGTTATGGGTTTTTTTTTTTTAAATTTCGGCCTACCGGCCTAACCTGTCAGTAAAATAACCCGAAAACCAACCAAAGTCTGGCGTACTGGGAAGTAGCAACGAATCTAAAACTGTCGCATCATATCTAACAACGGACATGGACAAATATATGACTGCCATTACATTGAAACATAATACACCATACTGTGTGCACAAAGGAATGAGCATCAATGCTATATGATTTTCACTTTTTTTCACTCTGGTAACATGAACTGATGACGTCATTGTTTGCGTGTTTTGTGAGACAGTAAAGTGAAGTGTTGCGACATGGTGTCGGGTTCAGAAGAATGTGTTGTTCAAAGTGTAAACCAGTATCTGTTTGAATCGTATTCTGACTCGTGTATTTTCCTCACAACTCCGACCTTCTCGGGGACTGATGGTTTATAGATGGAGATCAATATTCTAAAGTTTGGTTCCTTAGTATTCTGTACTAATGTGAGCCAACCTGCGATAGAATTCCATTTTCCATTTCATCCTTATTTAGACCCGTGAAGATCCGGGTTAGAATTGGTTTTCAGCATTCCATGCTTGTCGTAAAAGGGACTAACGAGATCGGTGGTCAGGCTTGCTGACTTGGTAGATGAATGTCGTCGTATCCCAAATTTGGTTGGTCCGGGCTCGATTATTTACAGTACAGACCGCCGTCATATAGCTGGAATATTGCTGAGTGCGGTGTTAAACAAAAAAACAAACAAATCATCCTTATTAATCACAATTTACGTCATATTAGATGAATAGTATATGTATTGAACCAATGTTGTCAGAGACATATCTTGCTTTTCGATACATCCCGTCAAACATTTTCGCACTATAAACTTGTCGAATCTGCTACCAATGTGAAAAAATACCTTCTAGGAGGGACCTAAGTAAAACGAAAATAGTTAATCATGAAATTGTATTTACACCTTTCAAAAGAGAATACTTTACATATACTGCATGTTGATGACATATCATAATCATAATAATTATATGAATATGCGACAAAACCCTTTCCATATCATAATCATAATAATTATATAAATAAAGTGACAAAACCCTTTCCATGTCATAATCATAATAATTATATAAATAAAGCGACAA